TCACTTTTCCAGCCACTGCTTCTATCACCTTTGCTAATGTTCCCATAGCAAAATGTTCCATCAATGTTCCCAGACCAGGGTCAGTGGAGGCAGGGACTGTACAAAGGCATCAGGACAAGGAAGCACGATTCCTAGGGGACTCACAGTGGAAGAATCCTCTACAGCTTGCTTTCCTAAGAACTTTTGTATCATGTCCCAAGACTACCGAATGTCAAATGTGCAGATGAGCTGTAAGTCTTTCCTTAGAAATTAGGTTAAAAAACTAGTGAAATCTTTATTTTTATTAATATAACCCTATTTAGAAAAACAGACAGGGCCTGGGGAAACCAAATTAGTTGACCTTGCAAATCCCTTAGTCTCTGAGACTTAGTTTCCCATTTTTAAAACCTCCTTTACTGAGCTCCCTGCACGGTTACTATTAAGGGTCCCATGACCTCACATCATTTGTGAAAAGTGTAAAACCCCACACGGCCATGGTGTGCTGTGACCCTGGGGAACTTTAAACCTAGTGACCGGGAAAATATAGAGATATACAATGAGAAAATAAAACCTCCAACTGAATGGGACTGTTTCAATACTATTTTTTATTAATTCCCGAGAAGAACTTTTGACTCTAGATGCACTAAATTTGTCTTTGTCCCTCACTTTGCCCAACATTTACAAGGAGAACACAAGATTTTATCTGTTTTAAACATCTGCTTTACCTTTTGTCCTCATTTTAAATTGCTCCTCTATTTCAAATGCAACTTGTTCTCTCTAATAGTGCCGCTAATAGTGTCAATCAAGTTTACAAGCCATCTCTTCCAGAATGTGTTGGATTGATTACGCCCTGATTCCATCCCTGCTTGCCCATCCGTCTCGCTTAGTGCTCGGACTGGGTGACAAAAAAATGAAGATAGCATAATTTTTGTCCTCTATGACCTCATGAACTAGCAGTGAGATATGTATACACAGGAAATAGTATTATCGTTGTGTTCTGAGAAAGAAAAATACACGTTTATTCAATAAACATTTAATGATTGCTTATTGGTGCATACAATATGCTAGTATAAAATACAAACATGTTAAAACACTTTTTCTATTTTAAGGCTAATCTAGTGAAGGAAACAGATGAGACAAAAGTCACAATTCAGCACCAGGTTTACACAGTGGCCCAGAGCATGGCCCTTGAGATGGAAGTGGTTGGAATTTTTGCATAGATTTTATATAAAACAAGAAAAGATCATATGGAGATACCTCAAAGAGCTGGGACTAGAGGTTCCATTTGACCCAGTCATCCCTCTGCTGGGTATCTTTCCAAAAGAATTAAAAGAATCATATCACAATGATATAAGCACACCTATGTTTATAGTGGCACAGTTTGTAATAGCTAAAACTTGGAAACAGCCCATTTGCCCATCAGTTGGAAACTGGATAAAGAAGATGTTGTTTTTCTATAAAATGGAATGCTACTCAGCCATAAAGAATGAGAAATTAGATTTGTTCATAGGAAAATGGATACACATTGAGGATATACTCCTAAGTGCAATAAATAAGTCACACCTGTGTAAATACCGAATAGTTTCTCTGGTGTGAAAAACTATAATGGTACATAAGATCCTAATGAGATAATTGATCAGGTGAAATAGGAAGAAAAGGGCTAAAGGTGTAGGAAAAGTGGGAAGGGTAGGAGAAAGGTAATAAGGGAAAGAAAAAAATAGGAGAAAATGAAAAAATGGAAATAAAATGTTTGTAAATGGGGAGGGGAGGCAGGGGTGAAGGGAGGGCAGGGACAAGGGGAAAAAATGAGAACCAAGACCTGTCATGTAAAGGTACAAGATTCGAATGATGAATGTAACTGTACTGTATAAAATGTACCAATAAACTCAATAAAAAAAAGAAAAAGAAAAGATCAGGGATAGATGTCACTTGGAGAGTACAGTATACATAAAGGAAGAGGGACTGGGGAAAGCATGATTTTTAGAGACATTCAAAGGGATTCAGCATCTGCAGCGTGACAAAGGAGGACAAGAGAGAAAAATCTGGAGAGGCAGGCAGAAGTCAGACTGCACTGAGAAGCAGCCTCCTTGGGTTTGCGTTTTAGGAAGATCACACTAGCAGAAGAGAGTAAAATGTTACATATGGGGCAACTAAGAAGCAGGACAACAAAGTTAATATATACTTTTAATAATTTAAATGTAATAATTTAATTCAACCAGGAAATGATGTGAGACTGAATTTCAGTATAGTACGGGACAGAGAAGGGTTAGATTTAGAGGCACAAAGGAGTGGTATGGGCTGCATTATATCTCAAAAACACATAGGTTGAAGTACTAACCCCAAGTACCTCAGAATGTGAGCTCTTTGGAGATACAGTCTTAGAAGAAGCAGTTGAGTTAAAATGAAGTCACCGGGGTGGCCCTAGTTCAATATGACTGGTGTCCCTACAAGAAGAGGAGATTAGGACACAGACATGCACAATAGAAAGACCCTGAAAGACACAGGGAGAAGACAGCCATCTACAAGCCAAGGAGAGAGGCCTCAGGAGAAACCAAGCTTGCTAATCTCCTGGTCTCTGACTTGTAGCTCCAGAATAGTGAGAGTGATTTCTGTTGTTATAAGCCACTACTCAGTGGTATTTTGTCATGGCAGCCCTAGCAAACTAATCATGGAGTAAGAATCAGGAGAATTACTGAAATCAGGGATGATGAAAGCAAAAGAGGAGGAAATACAGGGTAACTCTGAGGTTTCTGACTCATGCAATCTAGTGTTAGGACTCAAAGAATAGTTCCCTCAAAATAGGGTGTGTGGGGGTATGCTAAGACTTTGACCTAAAAGACAGCTTATACTGCTTCAGCCTACCCAAGCATAAATAACTCCAGAGTTCCCTTAGCTGTAATAAGAGCAGACTGCAAAGGGAATACAATCCTCCCTTTCCCTAAAATCCCATTATCTATCTCAGAAAAGAAGACTAAGGAATGTAACCACATCTGGACAGATTTCCCCTATAAGATAATGTCATTCTTTTGGTCATTCAGATTCCAAAGAGACTGTCTTTGGGATTAATCAGTCCCCTAATAACTACTTACAAGCCCTCAGTGGGTATTCCCCAGTGAGCTGTTGCTGTAGTTTTCTCTTTTTGCGTGTGAACAAATTTGTGTGTCTTTCCTCTTACTTAATCTTTGTCGATTTATTCCAGTGACCCTTCAAAGGACAAAGAGGAAATTTCCCTCTACTCATACAGTAGGAAGTGATGCTGCTGTATTCCGAGAGGTGTAACCAGTAAGAATACAGTGATGCTTTCTAGACAACTAGTGATGTCCACTAAGTCGGCTGTGTGGAGCTGAAGTCCAGTCAAGAGGCCTATAGATGTGGGGATCTCCAGATACAGGGGCAGGTGAAGCAGAGCAGTGGATGAGATCACCTAAAGGATATGTGTGCTATGTGGAGAGATTGTTGAAGACAACTGTGGAGAAGCCCTTCACTTATGGAAGAGGAGAACAGCAACCTGGACACAAGACAGAGTGGGAAACATTAGTGGAAGGCTTCAGAAGGCGAGTGTGAAGACAGTCAGGTGCTGTTCAGGTTTTAGTGTCAGGACCACAGTAATATCTGTTTGATTTTTCAGAGGCAGAATAATACTCTTTGGCTTTATATTCTTGTCTAATAATGCCTGCCCTTGTGGCTGGTGGGCTCTTTCATCTCTTCCTGATTGATGCTGCCCTTTGGCCATTTTCTCTTTCACCTAGAGGACTCTCCAATGGGTTGTCAAGTTTTTCCTCCTGGGCTCTCCCTGGATCTTTCCTCAGTGATGCCAGATGGCTGGAGTAGGTACCCGAGGTGAGGCTGTTGTTTTTAGGGCTCACTGAAGGGTTAAGCAAAAACCCTGTGCCCTTGCTCAGAAAGTATAGGAACTATGTGGAAATCATTGTTCAGCTTCCTCAAGCCTGGGAAGGATCTGGTCTTCATGGGGGCTTCATAGTTAGAAGGCAATGTTCTTTACTTACTTTGGGGAATGGGAAAGTACGTGGACCTCTTATCAAACCAACAAATCCAGCAAGAGGTGCCTAGAAGAAAGGTAAAGTGATTTCCCCAAAGCCATTCAGGGTTTGGACCTGGCTTTGTTTGACTTTAAAGATCTTTCTGCTGTGAAATCGTCCTCTTCTTTGTGATTTTCTTGCCACTCAGTTCTCCTTCCTTCAGCTTTACTCTGTGTGTTCCTAATACTGGTGTAAATCTGTGGAAGGCCTGGGTCACTTTCACCATAAACAGCCAGCAGTCATGAACACTTCCTGTCCAAGAACGGAGGGAATGGTGCAGCGATAGCAAGCTTACACCTTAAGAAGCGTCCTGTCTACTTGGACATCTGAATGCTGGGCGCAGTTTAGAGATCACGTTTGCTAACTCAGTCACCTTCAACAGCAATAGTCCTAAACAATGTACATGTGGAATATTTTTGTTGTCTCAAAATAAAATTTTGAGATGGGAAAATCAGGCTCCCTCACCCTCTCATTGAAGTGAAACTAGAAGAGACTTCACCCAGGTGTGCAGTCTCAGTCTTAGGTGACAAATTCAGTGCTCTGGTCACTTCACCTCATGGCCTTTCTGAGGCCCTTCAGCATGAATCACCTCCCTGAGAGACCCCACCAGGTCTGACTCAGCCTCTGCCTGCCTGTCAGCTATCAGAAGGGAGGGAGACAGTTTTGCCTTGTTTTGAGATTAAATATCCTTTTTTAGAGAGCCCTTTCACAGTTAGGAGGAAAAGACCTGCGCTGAATACAAGCCCTAAAGCAAGGGCCTGGGAAGTGTCTCCTTTTCACCCTCTCACCAGGTCAGGGCTTACTTAGAAAGGCAGCTTTGGCCTTTGGCTTCACGGGCTGGCTGGGTGCAGGCAGCCACAGCAATTCTGCACAGCAGGGCTGTTTCCTCATACCTGAGCCAGCCAACTGCAGCTGCATACACCCCTCCCAGCCCACACTATTTAAGATGAGCATGCTGGAGCTTACTGTGAGTCACAGCACTCAGGAGGGAGGCAGCAGCTCCATTCAGCCCAGCTCCTGGCCCCTGCTGTGGGAAGGAATCTATCCCCTCACCATGGCTTCGCTGGGGCAGATCATCTTCTGGAGGTAGAGTACCCTTCTCTCTATCCTTAGGGTTAAGAATCGGGGTGGGGCCTTTTAGGAATCTGGAGAACTGCTGGGCTGTCCCATATGGCCCCACCTGTACCCTTATGATCCAGCATTTCGCCAGCGACAGCCTCACCAGACAAAAACCTCACTGGAGTCAACATCATATTCCAGCCACCTGAGGCACCCAGTCAAGGATAGGGAGGTTTTTGGTGGTGGCCTGCGATGGGGGCTGGCACCTGATGGGTACCAGTAGACTGAGGAGAGCTCAGTGTACCTGGCTAGGGGTTCCACAGAGGTGTGAGATTCTGAGCACTTTAGGGGCAATGAGTGCAGTGGCCTGAGGGAGCAAGGGAAGCAGTGGAGACTGGCATGTGGGATGGCCTCTACAGAGCTCTCCAGATGAAGGAGGAGGATGTGTCCTGACTCCCCTTTGTGGGTGTAATTTCTCTGTACTCCTGAGCAATTCACTCCCGCAGCCCTACCTCACCCCCAACTCCAGGATGGGGTCCCCGGTTTTCCTGTATAGCGACCCTGGCAGCTGCTTTTGCAGCTGCTTAAACTTCTCAGAAATGAAAGAAACAAACTCCTCCCCTCCCTTCTGCTCCTCTCAGATTCTAGTTGCCTTTCCCCCCTCGGAATGTCATTTACCTTTCTGGAAAAGAAGAGATGGAAAATGAAAGGTTTTTTTAAAAAATGGTTGGTGATTCGATGTCAGCCATAGCTCATTACAGTGTTAGGAAGATATATTTACCGGTTCTAAATGTCATTATCTATTTTAAGGAGATGTTATTTCTAGTGTCTATTTCAATGAGAAGAAGAAAAGAGAAAAAAATGGAAGGGAGGGAAAGAAGGGAAGAAAGGACAAGAATCCAGACTAAAACAGTGAAAAGTTTGCAAGACTGACAAAACAAAGGGAGATTCTTTTTCTTGAAACAAAATGTCAGCCTCCTCCGTCCTGTTCATCTGAAACCACCAGTACTTCAGTGGACTGCAATGCCTGGGCAGCCCTTCTCTTCCTGTGCCTGGCAAGGACACTGTACTCTATCTCATCCCTGGAAAAATGGCATGCAGTGGTGGGCTCTCGTGCAGATTGTGCTTTCCAAAAGAATACCCTAAAGAAGCACCTGCATCTGAGGTGTCAATATTTTACAAGCTCATTGGGTGCTTTGTAGTAGTGCATCCTTCAAATCTCACTCCCAACCCCTTGTGAAGGTTGATTATCACCCAGAGAAATGAAGGCATTTGCTCAGGGCCTCAGCCCATGTGTAAAGCCACAGTTCCCCTACTCCCCATTCTTCCAGCTTGGTCCCATGGACGGGACACATGCAACAAGTGACTCTGTTGTTCCGAGGACAGAGTGAGCTTTCTAATAACACATCACAACTAGCCTGACTGGTTTTGCTGGAGGAGTAGAAAGAGGTGGTGGGTGTTCAAAATGTGACTCCCCCACCCTTGAAAGACCCACTGGAATCCACAGAGGCTCCTCTTGTTGGCCCCAGTGGCCTGGTTAGCTATTCATGCTCTGGTTGCAAAAGCAGGAACAAGCTGCAAGGTTGGCAGATCCTTTGTGCAAAGCAGTCACTGGGAAGAGGGAAAACGGGCAGCTTCTGGGGAAGGCAGGATCATCCTGCCCGTGTTAGGGATTCAGATGGCACCCACCAGGGGAAACTCAGTGCCCTCCAAAACTTTCTCCCTTTGCCATACTTTCATTAATTCATAATAGTATCTCTTTTGAGGTGCTCAAGGCTACAGCGATAGTGCAAGAGTCTGCCATCTTTTTCAGAACCAGTGTGTTATTCCTTTAACAATTACCAAAAAGCTTAATACCTTCACGTATTACAGAATGCTGCTCAGAATATGCAGTTTCTACTGTGCCCGCCCTCCTTGGTGCATTTAAGAGCTGTGTAATCAGGGACTCTCTGCCCTTATCCCCATCACCGCCATCAGTAGCAGCAGCATTCATTCAAGGAACGTTTTGTTGAGTTCTGCTTGGAGTCCAATAGTAGAAAAGTTACATTCCCTGCTCTGAGGGTGTTAAATTCCAATCAACTACATTAACAGAGTATCTATTCTGTGTTGAATATTGCCTTAGGCACTGAGGTAAAAGGGACTAAAATGATAACGTTATGGCCTAATGGGGAAGAGAGAGTCTCAAATCGATATTTCCAACATGCATTCAAAAGTAAGATAATAGGCACAAGATGCAATAGCACCACTTTCTTACCCAAGGCTTTGAGGAATGTTTCCTGAGCCAGATGATGGCTGGGGTATCTTGAAAAATGAGTTGGCATTACCCAAGTGAAGATAAGTGAGAAGGGATCTCTAAGTAAAGGAAACAGAATGAAATAAAACTCATGAACTAGTGTACTACACTGGAACGCTGCAAGCTGCTTTATGCTATCAGCACATGAAGTTTGAGGCAGAAAGTCCTGAGAGATGAGGCTAAGCGATCACATCAGATCATGGGGGGCTTATTTGTGGTTGGTGGTGAGGAATCATCGAAAGCTCTTAGGTAAGGGAATCTTGGTGGATTTCATCTTAGGTGACCATGAGGCCAAGGAAGGAAAACAGCTAGAAACGACTTCAGCCAGAGGTATAAGGAATGATAAGAACCAGAAGTAGAGATCCAGGGAAGGGAAATCGATTTTTAAAAATATTCCAGAATTTAAACTTGGTGATAGGTTATAAACAATGGCAGGGGAAATAGGGTGGTGCAGAATTGGAGTGGATGAGGCAAAGGGTAGGTGAAGCCCGGGCTACTCCTGTGTTTTCAGATTGGGAAGAGTGAGTAGAGGGAAAGGGAAGAGGAGGAAGGTGGACAAGAGAGAGAATAAGAGAGGCTTGAACGAAGGAGTCTCAGGGGACTTTTCTCTATAACCTTCGTCTCCCGTTTTCCCCCTTTTCAAGCTTTAGCCTGGCTCAGATGTCCCAGACTTTGACGGTAAGAAATGCTCATCTGGGCCTAGCCTGGGGAGATCTCAGCACCAGTCACATTGACACTTCAAACACATGTAGACAAGAAAAGCTGGGTCCAACTTGCAATCTCTCTGAGCCTATAGAATCTGAGGCTTCAGGACATCTAGAGCTCAACCAACATGACCATAATGGGCATTCGAAAAAACGGAACGAATGGAGTGAAATACTTAAATTGGTGACACTTTTGTTGCTGTCCCCCAGGAGTATATTATCTCTTGATCATGATACCCTTCCTCATCCTTACCTGCTGCAACATTCAGCTCAAAGGCCGCGTCCTCTGTGAAGTCCTAAATGCCATTAATTGCCTCTTTTATGTTCACAGTCAGACTCATTTGTGAACACCTTTCTCTCACTAGGGTTAGGTCCCTGAGGTTCTGGACTTGGTCTTTCTCGCTGCTGTCAGAAAGAAAGGCAGTACTGCTGCTGTGCATCTGGGATTAGACTGCTGTCAGCTAGGTTCATATCCTTGTATCATCAAAAATGCCCTATGAGCTTCAATTTCCTTATCTGTAAAAGGTGGCTGCTAATACTACCTAACCACTAGGGTTTATGAGAGACGTGTGATAATTATGTGCCTGGCAATCCTAAAAAGCTTTACAACCGTTAGCTCTTGTCACGGTCATTATTTGCAAGTCCTTCTATGATGACTGCTACATGGCTGGCTCTGCACAAAAAACAAACTTCAATTCCAGGATCACATCGGCTCTCCTGGGCCTGACATGAATGTTCTAGTGAGGACATATAGTAGATTAATTGTCACCGGGGTCTCAAAGGCAGTTAACTCTAATAAGTTAAGATCGGGAAAATATTCATAGAGTTTTCCAGATTCTTGTTTTGAAAAAAAATCAAGTCCATCCCACCTTTTTTTTTTTTCCTATGAATCTAAGGCTTAATCATGCTTGAGGCCTGAGGATGGTGTGGTTGAGACTCTTCATTAAATGTCTCCCTCTGCCTGCATCGAGCACTAAAGGGTGGGGTTAAAGAGCTTCAGGAGGGTGAGGTGAACCTGGGAGGCCCTTCTGTGCACAGCTGAGTGTTGGAGCCTTCTGATGAGGCACTGCAGACACAGAAATCAAAGGCCTTCAGGGTGTAGCCGAACTACAGAGCTATGACCAAACAAACACTCAGTTATGGTTAATTAGCTAAGCTGCCTCACATTCCTAAATATCTTCATTTCATAGATGCAAATGTTGAGGCTAAATAATTTGTTCAATGCCTCCAGTCAGTCAATGTCAGGAACCAAAAAGTTCCTACCTAGTTCTCCATACTTTAATTAGTTTTTTAAAAATCTTTCTAATCAGCTCTGATTCAACTCTTGCCATTTAAAGCAGAATATAATTCATCACCTCCTCAGGGACCAAAAACTGCCACAGCCAGAGCTCTTAGCTGTCTGACGAGGGAGATATCCCCAGAACAGACAAGAGCCTGTGGATTGCTGGTCTGTGTTGTTTCAGGGAGCTGTTCTATATGAGCGAATGCATCAGCAAGGAATGACTAAATCGGTGAGAATTATTTACTTTCAGAGCTCAAACATTCAGGAAATCAGTGCATCCTCTTGTTTCATCAATGAGATCACCACAATAAAGCATGTAGCTTGCCCAAGGGCCGCACAGTTAAAGAATGGTACAGTAGGGCTTTTTAAATAATCCTACATTGCTCAGTGACCTTAGCCATAGCCTAAGTTGGACCCCAACAGAGCATGTGTTGCTCAAACATCAAAGGTCCTCAAATCTGAGAGACTAAAGCTTCATCCATGTTTACCTTTGACATATGAAGAGATAGAAATAATGTGGATATGAGAATTTGTCTTATCAGTGTATGTAGTCCATCTTTCCACTTCCTGGCTGTGTGACCTCAGAAAGTTCCTTAACTACTGTCTATTTCTCCCTCAGTAAAGTGGGTGTTAATGATAGTACCTAGCCATTAGGGTTGTTGAGAAAGCTAACTGAATTAATCTATGTGAGAAGCTCAGAGCAGCACTGGGCACATATTTAGCACTCTGTGTTAATTACCCTTATTGA